AAGGAAGGAAGGAAGGAAGGAAGGGGGAATCAAGCTATTCTCCAAGGCACCTGAGGGTAGAACAAGAACTGGTGGAGACTAATCAAGAAGAGAAGCAATCTAGAACTAAGGAATTTCCTGACAGTGAGAACAATTAATCAGTGGAACAGAAGTTGCCTCCAGAAGTTGTGAATGCCCCAACACTGGAAGTCTTTAAGAAGATGTTGGATAGCCATTTGTCTGGAACGATATATAGTTTCCTGCCTAGGCAGGAGGTTGGACTAGAAGACCTCCAAGTTCCCTTCCAACTCTGTTATTCTATATTCTAAAGACATCTGGAGCATCCCTTCAACACTTATCCGCATTGACAAATTCCCCGTTGGTCAATTGCAAAAGGCAGCTTGACTCGGAACAGCTGTGCCAATACTTTTAACCCATCAAACAATCACATCTGTCCCTCTCAGGTCCTTGGCAAGGACTCAAGAGGTCAATTGAAAGGCCAAATCCAGTCTAAACATCTGGCTAGCTGTGCAATCAGCCCTAATAATAGCATCGGGATGAATGGAGCAGCGTTGGCATTGACAAAATCCCTACCAGTCAATTGCAGTTCCGTGGGAAGGACTCCAGAGGTGAATTTAAAGGCCCAATCTGGTCCCAACATCTGGCTGGCCCTGCCACCAACCCTAATATTATTATCTACGGTGATGTTTCTAAGGGAATGGTGGAGGATCAGCCTAAACTGAAGACCTCTAGGAATAAAAGTTGATGAGAACTTGGGGCCTCCTAGAAGCAAACTTCTCCTAGAAGTTCTTCTCTTCCAAAACTTTTCATGGATCTGACAGCGGCTGTGACATACAATGGGTCTCTCTTAAAATGTCTCCCTCACGGGCGACATCTATGCTTCTACAAAATGTCCACCTTCTTCCTGGTCAGCCCAAGCTATTTTGGAGATCTTAAATGTTTCTTTCCTTGACGCCTGCAAGCAAAAACAGACCTTGGCTAATGAGCTGCCCACCACTGCATCCCACATCCTGTTTTCAGCTAAAATTGCAGCTTTCCGTTCTCGTGTCCAGACAAATGTACTCAGGGTAAACTCTGGGACTTGACCTTGAAGTTGGGGCTACAGAAGAAGAGAGAAGAGAAGAAGAAGAAGAAGAAGGAGAAGGAGAAGGAGAAGGAGAAGGAGAAGGAGAAGGAGAAGAAGGAGAAGGAGAAGGAGAAGAAGAAGATGATGATGAAGAAGAAGATGATGAGAGAAGGAAAGTTGATGGAGACATTTCACCCATCTAGCAGGTTGAAGGGGTCCCATCTCACCTCACAGACACATTCAGGAGGACGTGGAGACCTTTGGGGGCCTCCAAAACATCCCCCTGACCTTCTCCTGTAGAATATCTTGTTGAAAGATTTAAGATTGGGGAACTCAAAGAAAGACGCTTAGCTCTGGTAGCTCCAAAGCCACAGGAAATGTGAAGCCAAATGTTTCCAGGTCAAATAGACGAAGACCATTTCCACCAAAGTTGGCTTCTGGAGTCTTCTGAGCCACATTGGAGGGACGTTGAAATTTTTTGGGGACAACGCCACCTAAACAATTTTAGAGGAACCCATTTATCCCTAAGGCAGACGTGAAAAGTCTTGAGAAAAAAATAAGGGATTGATTGATTCTCTGGATGGATATATTTTTTAAGAAAGCGGAGAAGAACAGGTTGACTTTTGATGCCTTTAGTTCCCCAAGAAATAGGACAACTCTGACATTTGCCATCTAGAGAAGAAGACAACTTCTGACTTCTTTGCAGATATGGTTTAACGCTTCCCCACCTCAATAGCTGAGGGTCCTCTCCTTATCACTAGTCCTCAAAACAGTTGAAGAAACATCTAACTAGCGTTCCCTCACTAGACACTAAACTTGATATTTGTAGCTTGGCGTTGAACTCTGAGGTCTTTGCTGCTCTATGAGTTGGTTTCTTTGAATATGTTTCATGACCCAACTAAGTCACATTTTCAGTGACTTAGGAGTTTGCAGAGAAGATGAGGAGGAGGAAGAGGAGGAGGAAGAGGAGGGGGGGAGGAAGAGGAGGAGGAGGAAGAGGAGGAGGAGGAGGGGATCTGTAGAGACCTTGATGCTCTCTAAGCTTGGTTGTTTTCTTGTGAACATTTCATGGATATCATTTGTGCTGGAATGGAGTGGGGTTTACAGAGAAGAGGGGGAAGAAAAAAAGGTAGTAGTAGTAGTAGTAGTAGTAGTAGTAGTAGTAGTAGTAGTAGTAGTAGTAGTAGTAGTAGTAGTAGTAAGAGGACTGTGGGGACCTTGAGACTCTCTGAGGGTGGTTGTTTTCTTGTAGACATCTCATGGCCCAACTAGGTAACATTATCAATGCTGCAAGCTAGAACCCCCACTCATTAGCACTGNTAAGCCGAGGTGGCGCAGGAAGTCCTCTGCTTACAACGGTTCAAAATTACAACGGCACTAAAAAAAAAGTTGAGTGTTTTTCACACTTAACAACCGTTCCATCATGCTCAGGGTCACATCATGATCAAAATTCAGAGTCTTGGCAACTGACTCGTATTTATGACGTGGTCACATAATCCCCTTTTGTAACCTTCTGACCAGACAAAGTCGATGGGGAAGCCGGATTCGCTTAACGACCGTGTTCCTAACTCAACAACTGCAGGGATTCACTTAACAACGGTGGCAAGAAAGGTCGTAAATTGCGGAGGGAGAATTCACTTTTAGCAACGGAAATTTTGGGCTCACTTGTGGTCGTAAGTTGAGGACTCCCTATAATAGTGACTATGTCCTTTGACGGATGTCTCTAGTACCACAAAATATCAACATCTGCTATCCCAGGGTCTTGGGGAAGGAAACAACAGCTGGATAAAATCGTCAGTTTCCAGTCTGAACATCTGGCTGATTGTGCAATGAGACAGTGAATTAATATTAATGAGTAATTAATACTAATTAGACAAGCATTTGCCATGCAATGCCTCAGAGTCAGCAACTGCCGCTAAGAGAGACAAAAAAAAAGTTTGGATGGTGGAGTCGACAGTACAGGTAGTCCTCGACTTACGACGGTTCATTTAGTGACTATTCAAAGTTTACAACGACAATGAAAAAAGGACCTTTTTGTACTTACAATCGGTGCAACATCCCCATGATCACATGATCAAAGTTCAGATGCGTGGCAACGGGCGTGTATTTATGACGGTCGTAATGTCCCGAGGTCACATGACACACCCACCCCTTTTGCGACCGTCTGACATGCCGAGCCAATGGAGAAGCCAGATTCACTTAACAACCGGGTGACTGACTTAACAACTGCAGTGGTTCGCTTAACAGTTGTGCAGGAAAAGGTCACAAAATGAGGCAAAACTCACTTAACAAAGGACTCACTTAACAACGGCAATTTTGGGCTCTGTTGTGGTCGTAGGTTGAGGACTACCTATGTGTGCAGACAGCAGAAGAGAAGGAACCGGAGAAGGTCACGAAACAGATTTGCAAATAGGAGTTGAATAAATTTG